CTCGTGAGCGGGTGTATCACTTGTTGGAAGAGCTGGAGAACTGGACAACAGAGCTTGTATTCTCCGCGCTAGGGTGAGCGGTTCCGGAGGTGGGTCAATGCTGTCCGCGACAGCAGAGTCGGTGACAGCAGGGTCCACGAGATGTTCAACCGAAGCAGGCTCGTCTGGGAGCACTTATCTCGGTATGAGCATGTGCTAACGCTGATACAAAGGCGCTTACCTATGGAGGACCTCCGATCGGCCTCCGAAGGCTTCTCCTGCTGGGCAGTGTCCCAGCTAGCGGGAGGGAACTCGATGCCTCCATCCTTCCTAGTCTTCCCCAGACTCAGGAAGCGTTGTAATGAAGTAGGGTTCCCGGTAACGTCCCCCACGGCAGGTGTGCCAGGAGTAGAAGATTGGGACGGTGTTATTGGCGTCACTTCGTCCTTCTTCGAGAAAAACCCCTTCGCGCTCTGGCTCAGCTGTCTAGTCAGGTGAGAGAGCGTTCCGCTATTTGCCTCGGTTGTCGAGTTTGGAAGCTGTCGACTGTTGGAAATCGTCTGTGTGGACATGCTGGTTGTTGTTGGTGAAAATGTCTGCTGTGGATTAGGACGTACAGACTACAGTACAGTACCCACCACGGGATGACGTACTTGGAGCTTGCCCAATGCCCATTAAGAGCTGTCTGGCGCTAAAATCACTCCATCGAAGGATTCCAGTAGCTGTAAGCCAGCTTCCGTAGTCTGTCCATTCGCATGCTGTGTATGTCGAGACTCGCTGGGCGATGGTGATGGTTCAAGAGGGGAGAGCGCCCAGTTTGCTTCTTCGTCCCGCGCGGCCACATATTTATGTGAAATGAAATCACTTAGCTTGTCAGTGTTGTGTACGTTCAATAACATCACACTAGCTGGAGGAAGGAATCTCGGTTCCATCTCACCAAGAGTCAGGATTACAACGGACCACTGCGTACTCACTATACGTCAGTACTAGTGGTTGCAGCGTCTTCACTACCGACCTCGAAGCCGTCGCGAAGTCAATGGCCCTCAAACTTCACGGACGCTAGCTGCGCTGTATTTATGTCTCGAACTTTGGCTCTAAATACCACGAAAGCGACCAAGACGAGAGGAAGATGGGCATGCGGTCAGTGGTCTCCGGGGTCATCATTAGAGCGCCATATGGTGGGACGCGTCCTCTGGACACTCCGCACCGTTTCTCTTCCGCTCTCATCTCCCTCCCTCCCTCTTAATCAGTCTTTTCTTCTTCATCCATTAAGTTCAATAGATTCATACTCTCTTGATAGAATACACGAAGCAACATGGCTCGTCAAGCTGCAGCTGAGACTCCGTCTCGTCCTTCCACCCCGCCTGGAGATGAGGGTGAGGAAGTAAGTCTAAAGCCGTTTTCGGACGCAGCTCCTGTGAATGGCCTAACTTTTGCAAAGGTATACTTTGATAGCATCGATGAGCTGCAGCAACACGTTTGTGCAGGCTTCCCCGCTCATCTAACGCGTCTTAGTGGCTTGCCTTTTGCTCACAGGGCATCAACGTGCAAGACATCCTAAAACTTAAAGTTGGTTTGTTTAATGGACTACCCTATTTCTTACTAACTTTCATATAGTCTGCGGCAATCCACACCGTATCTGGAGTGAACATGACAACCAGGCGACAGCTTCTCAAAATCAAAGTGCGTTTCATGTCCGCGAAGAGCGCTGATTGCCTTCTGAAATTTTATAGGGCATGTCTGAAGCAAAGGTCGAGAAGATAAAGGCGAGTGTTGATTTTATGCTGGCTATATGCACTGTTAACTGACTATATGCGCAATTTTCAGGAAGCAGCGCACAAGATCTTGGTAGGCTACAAGTCTTTTGAACGACGTACTCTGCGAATCCCGAGTTCATACAGGGAACTTCCTTCGCCACTGGGCTCGAAATTCAGGACAAGCGCAAGCGTGTCCTCACTATTAGCACGGGTAGCAAAAACGTTGACACTATCCTCGGAGGTGCCGTCCTTGTTAGTCGCTTCTTATGCGGGGCTCATGCTATGCTCAGGAGGGATCATGTCGCAGTCGATTACCGAAGGTCCGCCCACCCACACGATATATGCGTGTGTGAAATGACTTTTCCTCGTAGTCTACGGGGAGTTCCGCACCGGAAAGACTCAGCTGGCACATACAATGAGCGTTGTTGCTCAGCTGCCGCCCGATATGGGTGGTGCTTCGGGAAAGGTGAATTTGCCTCGCTCATCCAGGAATCTGTCCTTGACATGACTTCTAGGTTGCCTACATTGATACAGAAGGTACCTTCCGTCCCGATCGTATCCGCGCTATCGCGGACCGCTTCGGGGTCAATGGTGATATGGCTCTGGAAAACATCCTATACGGTACCCATGGGTCTTCCTATCTCTACACGTTTTGACAACTTCCCTCTAGCGCGGGCGTTCAATAGTGAACACCAGGTAGACAAGTCCACCCCTGGATACAGGCTTTATCTC